GTATGTATGTATGTATGTATGTATGTATGTATGTATGTATGTATGTAAATTACCTTTACTTTGACATAAGAATGTCATGATAATGAAACTGAATTTTGCTTTGTTTGCCTAAAAGGGGCTTAGATGTTCAACATTAGCCCTAAAATTCCACCTCTTTTAGATGTATTTTAACATTTTGTGCATGTGTTTTCTAACACAGCTGCTCTTGCTCAGCCAATTCTTTCCCTCCTTTCAGCTAACCGCAGTAAAGACTGGGGCTGAAAATGCTGATGCTCCTATCAAATCCTGTTTTTGTTTGTTTTTTAGATATGTTTTTACAACTGCAAAAATACCATTCAAGTTACCTGGGTGTTTAAATCCCAGCGGTCGAGTCGCTAGGTGGAACTAGAACCGAATTGTGTATCTGCTGAGTGGTTCATCTTACACAAGTCTCAAAAAGGAAGTGATCCTTTAAATGTCGCACTCATCAGTCTTTTACCAACTGGAAATGTGGGTTGCGTGAGTGGCAGGGTTTTGAAGAGGAATAATGCAAATATATCCAAATGGGGAGCACGTCTCTGCTTTGGCTGTAGTGCTTAAAATCAAAGTCCAGCACATAGAACATGAAGGTAAAACAAAGCTGAGCGAACCCTTTGGGGGTAGGTCGGCGTTTGGATTGTGAGGGGAAACTCCACATGCTTCCGTTTTATCGTCCCCTGGCTTTTGTCGTCCCTCTCCAGGCTCTACTTCTCGCTCCAGATGCGAGGGGAGTCAGAAAGGGAGCGGCTGCTGCTGGCCTACCAAACCAATGAGGCCATTGTCGCCGGACACTTCCCAGTCAACAAGGAACTGGCTCTGGAAATGGCTGCCCTGCTCGCTCAGGTCAAAACAACGTCGCCCTTAAGTTTGATTTGCAATCCGGCATCTATGTTTATGTTTATGCATTTAGCAGACGCTTTTATCCAAGGCGACTTACAAAGTGGACATAATGTTACAGTTATTATCAATTTAACAATAAGTTCCCTAGAGGAAAACCCCTAGTCAGAATCAGTGGTGACAGCAAAGAGAGAGGGGGAAGGGCAGAAAGAGTTGTAGAGGGGGTATAGAGGTATGGGGAAGAGTTAGGCTAGGAGTCTTAAGTTCGTCACCGTACCTGAGGTTGTACGCCACATCTCTCGCCGTTCGCCCAAATGTTCAGGTGGAGTTTGGAGATTTCGAGCGCCCCTTCAGCCCCACTTCCGGATCGGCCCAGGCCAAGTCCAATCAAACGCTGAAACAGGTCCTGGACCGATTCTACCCCAAGCACTACCGCAGGGCCGCGTCCGAGGAGCAGCCGAGGTACCGGCCGCGCTTGCAAGCCCTTCGTACAGAGCAGATTTTGAAAGTTCCCGCTTCAATCCCGTCCGCCGACACTAACGCAGACATTGCCTCCCACTCTCAGACAGCTGCTCCAGCGTCTGTCCGCCCGCTGGGCCTCGCTCAGGGGTCGGAGTTCGTCTGAGTGCGTCAGGATCTACCTGACCGTCGCCAGGAAGTGGCCCCTCTTCGGTGCCAAGCTGTTTGAGGCAGAGGTCAGCTAGCGGGACACGTGAGATGTGTTAGATGTGCTAACGTGTGTGTGTTTTTGCTATTTTGCTTATTGTTCATGGCCCGTTCGTGCACAATGCTGCAAACACATGCCACGCACGTGCCTGACACCAAGGATGGAGAAGTTGCCATCTTTTTCCCCTTTATCGTCACCATGCTGCGGAAGTGTTCTTATACAGCACTTTACCACGAAAAGGACGCATTACAACCAGCGTCACTATCGAGGATTTATCGGAAATATGTTGTTCGTAACACAACAGCGCACTTCCTGCGACAGTTGCTAATAAATATACATCTCTAAATATCAAATGGATAAGAGGCAAGAAAGACAGAAATGAAGAGTCTCTCGACTCCGTCCTCAGGCGATCAGCCCCTCTCCAGAGCCGGGCGCACGCATCTGGCTCGCGGTGCACGAAGACGGCGTCGGTGTCCTCGAGCACAACTCGATTGTAAGCAGCCCCACTGACCCAGACAACCGGACACAAGTCTGATTCTGTGCAGAACGCCCTCACACGTCGTTGTTTTTTTCGTGTGTGTGTGTCAGAAACCGCTGGCCTCCCACCCCTATAAGAGCCTGATGACGTTTGGAGGCTGCAAGCAGGCCTTCATGCTGGCGGTGGGTCCGAGCGTCGGTGCCGACTCCGGAAAAGACAAACCGGCAGAGAAACATCTGTTCGCCATGGACGCTTCCAAGGTAAAAGAGGGCAGGCCGCGTTTGACCCCGAGGGGTTGGGGTCTGACATTTATGGATTGAGATACTCGGATACAGAAGGGGGGCGGCACGGTGGTGTGGTGGTTAGCACTATCGTCTCACAGAAAGAATGGTTCTGGGTTCCAGTCTCAAGGGGACCAGGATCTTTCTACCAAAGGGTTCTAGGTTGGAGTCCTGGGGGAACCAGGACCTTTCTGCCAAAGGGTTCTGGGTTGGAGTCCTGGGGGAACCAGGACCTTTCTGCCAAAGGGTTCTGGGTTGGAGTCCCGGGGGAACCAGGACCTTTCACCCAAAGGGTTCTGGGTTGGAGTCCCGGGGGAACCAGCACCTTTCTGCCAGAGGGTTCTGGGTTGGAGTCCCGAGGGGAACCAGGACCTTTCTGGGTGGAGTCTGCATGTTCTCCCTGTGTCTGTGTGGGGTTCTCCGGCTTCCTCCCACCGTCCAAAAACCTGCATGTGAGGTTGATTGGACATTCCAAATTGCCCTAGGACTGAGTTTGCATGGTTGTTTGTCCTTGTGTGTCTCTGTGTGGCCCTACGATGGACTGGCGGACCATCTAGGGTGTACCCCGCCTCTCGCCCATTGACCACTAGGATAGGCCCCAGTCCCCCCGCGACCCCATTAGGGAATAAGGGGATACGATAATGGATGGATAGATGGATACTCAGATACTCATCTCTACGCCGGCTGTCAGTATTTCCGACGAAAAAACCGGGGGAGAGCGTGAACGGTGTCAGTTTGGCGGTCGGAGCCCCCCGTGCAACCTTTTCTTGTTCTCGTTGGCCAACAGATAAGGGAAATCACCCTCCTCATATCCGGCTACATCAACAGCGCGCATCAGCAGAAGGCCGCCGCCCACCACCTCTCCGCCCCGGCCCTGATGGTGGCGCAGCCCGTCAACCTGAAGAGCAAAGAGCTGCGGAGCAAATCCCCACCGGCGCTGGGACGCCCCAGCAAGGCCCCCACGCTGCTGTGAGGGATACACACAAATACACACATCCTGGCCTTTTTCTTTTTTTAAAGTTAGACAATAAAGAATCTTTCAACATCGCCTCCAGGAATGACTCAGTGTGAATATTTTTCTCTTATACGGTGGTAGAGTTTTGGCTCGGGCAGCCACGTTTATTTCTGGCGTGTAGATCGGCGTTTATCACGTCTCTGTCAACAGGAAGTGGTGAAGCGGGCTAATTTGACTTGGCTTCATCTGTTTGATGGGTGCCGATTTATCACAGAGCGCCTTTGCGACCTATTCGGGGACTTTTTGTAGTATTTGTGGCTTGTTTACTACTCCTAGTTTTTATTTTCTGTGTGTATTTCCGTGGAAATAATGCAGTCACACAAACTACAGCATTAAGGGGGAACCAAATTTTTTTTTTTTTTTTTACAAAGAATTGAAACGCTGTTCTGGTATTCAAAAACAACAGGAAGTTGCCTACCGAAGCTCTGAGTTGGAACGTTTTAAATACCGTTGCGGAGAGTCGTAAAAATATCAGGGCAAGGAAAAGGGGACGCAGGAACCAGCTCAAGTAGAAACGCACAGTTGTGGGGGATTGTTTTTTTTGGGGGGTAATGAAAAAGAAAAGGAGTGGATCTGATGGGTCAGCTGCTATGGGAGCTGTAAAGGTGGAACCTGTTTGGACAGTTTGCCGTTAGTTACTGAACAACCAGGAGAGAGAAACTTTAGTCATGTTCAGATACTCAAAGAGCAACAAAAAAGGGGAAGGTGCTTCCATTGTCTGTTATGGTACGGGCGGTTACTGTAAAAGTCAGATCAGGTGGTTTACAGTTTGTTCTTGTTTTAGTATCCGATTATGGTAATGAGGTTTGTTTTTTGGTTTTTCTTCCAAAGGACGGACTGTTAAACTGTAGTACTTTTTTTCCCACCAACAAGATCATTCCCTCTGTTTATTTTCTTTATATGCAGTGAGACTTTCCGGGTTCTATTTGTCTTGCACAAGACACACCTTGTGGGAATGTGGGCTTGAATGCAGTAAAACACAGCCAAAGTGGGACGGTTTCCCTCAGTGTGTAGTGTGCGACAGAAACCCACATTTCATAACGCCCCCTGCTTAGTAATCATTCCCTGCTTCAAAGTCCATAAACCTGTCCACCGTTCTCCTTATTGGAGCAGAGCAAAGCCGACATGCTGATACCTGCAGCATGGCGCGCTCTCATTCCTTTTGTTTCTCAGAGCAGTGGTGGTGGGGGGGAGGTGCTTAGGAAAGATACCCGACACCTCAACCTGTCTGGACTGGTTAGAGGCATGCTTTTGTTCTGATGTCGCTCGGAATGACAGAACGGGCGAGGCAAAAGAGACCTAAGGGCTAATCAACGTGTAGTTTCTGAACAAGGAGTGTTTTCAGTTTTGTTTTAATTTTTTTTCCAAGTAGTCTTGATTCTGAAGTTCTGAGAATAATGTTACAACCCCCACCCCCCCATTTTTCGTTGGAACCGTTGGATAACAAATTTGCTTAAGCAAGAAACCAGCTAGAGCAGTTTTAGAAAGAACTCAAATGACTTAACATTTCCCGGAAACTGGGAGGTGCCGTCAGGTTCTCGTCTGAATATTCCTTCGGTTGCAATCACAAAATGACAGTGATATTTGTGTGCCATGGTCCCATGGAGTTTATTTTATTTAAGGACTTGGTATTTAAATGTAACACGCAGAATGCTGGCAACACCCAAAAAAAAACAAAAAAAAAACAAAAAAAAAAGTTAATGATGGCTCCTCATGGAAATCTCCATCCTCCTATGGTAATTTTCCATCTTACCACAATAAAACTTTCACAACCCATTAGAATTTTCTTCATCTTTTATTACAAACCATTTTAAAACATAACAAACTGTACAATGCAATAGAATTTAGACTTTGAAACAGGTTCTAACGTTAAAATCCATTGTGTGAGGCACATTTAAAAGCAGTTCTTAATGGCAAGTAGACTTGTGAAGCATTTCAGCTTTACTCAATATAAATAAATGTTGGAACCAGTACCATCATCATAAAGGGCAAGAGAAAAATAAAAAGAACGTGACATTATAATCTCAAATCATCTATTCCATGGAGAAAGATAAAAATGGCATATTCCCACAGTAGAAAGGTCCAGCCAAATGGCTAAAAACCAAGCACCTCAGCTTGCTGCTGCTTACATGGGGTCCATCTCTCTTTGCTAAATTTAAAGAAAACCAAAGGAAGGAGTTAGTTCCAGATACAGGCAATTTGTAAAAGTATATATGCGTTTGTTTTTTTAAAACAGGAAGTTACACACCTGAGCCTTGTTGTATTTCATCTGACGTTTTTTCATGAAAATCTGCACAGGGAAAATAAAGAGATTAGTCCTTGGATCACCTAAGATGGTTTAATACAAAAATTAAATAAAAAAAAGAAACTCACCAGGATCAGGATCCCAGCAACCACAGCCAACACGACCACCACAATGGTGGCAATGATCCCGGCTGGAAGGTTGCGCATGGTGAAAGTGGGGGCTTCCTCGTCCACGTAGTACACCAGGATGTTCTCCATCTCCAGCTTTTGGCTTTCCACTGAAGGCTCAAATTTGTTCTGGTTCTTGAACAGGGGAAGTGCCTTTATCTGTGGGAAGAGCGCGGGCCGGTTGGTCACATTCAAGTCACCGGTTGGTCACATTCAAGTCACATTCAAGTCAGAAATGTATCCAACTTACATCCTTCTCCATGTAATAGGCCATCTGGGCCAGGTCGGTGTCACGGTTTCCCATTTCCTTCTTCACATCCACCTCAATCAAGCGGGCTTCAGGGTCATACTGCAAAAGCAGGACGGTTAGATAAGCACTACAGCTTTATGCAAAAATAATTTTACAGGCTATTAATGCACAGAAATAAAAGTCAAATAGAAAAGGACAACTCACCTTGATTGCTTTCACAAGATTCTTTTCAAAATTGTACCGGCTCTTAATTTCATTACCAATGGCACTATTGGAAGAGAGGTTAGGATGAGAAACTTTAAAAGAAGAAAAAAAAAAAAAAAAAAAAACCATCCCCTTCAAAGCGGTCCCCATTAAATCCTGCAATAGGTCAAATAAACACTTACTTGATCAGTTTGGTCTCATCAACTTTATCAGTTGTTGGTTTGTGTTTCAGCTGTAGACGAATCCAACTAAGAAAAAGGGGGGGAAAAAGAGTCAGTTTTTCCCCCATTCTTACACCTATGGTGGCTGTTAATGGGAAAAAAAAAGAAAAAACAAAAAAAAAACCTTACTAGGTCTCCACCAGCTTGTCACACTTGAGGTTGGTGTCACCCTTGTCAGTTCGACGCACGCCGGCGCTGTTGACACACCAGCACTCCTCCGTGTTGTTGCACTGCTTGGCCCTGAACTTGCCGTCGTTCTCGCAGTCCGGGTCGTAGATGCCGTCGTTGTCCACGAAGGCCGTTTCGTGCGGCTTTCCCCCGCTGCGGGTGCTCTCGCCCTTCCTGGCTCTGTACATCTCGGCCTTCATCAGGAAACACTTGGGGATCACTGCGGTTGGGAAAGGAACCAAAAAGATTAAACAAAAAACAGACACGATGGATACAAACGTGCACAAATGAGCCTGTGCGAGCGTTCACTTACAGTTGGTGCAGTTCAGGAACAGCTTTTCGCCTTGCCCGACCATGACATAACATTTACAGGGATTTCCATCACAGTTTGCCCATTTCATTGTTGGACATACACCACCTAAGAAAAAGAAAAAAAAAACACCAAAACGAACAAAAAAGCCAGATGGTTAGACTACCAGTTGGACCTGGGACATTAAATGCAGAGCAACATGGCCGACAAAGGATTTTTTTTTTTAAATGGGTTTAAAGAAATAAATACAATTTAGGTTAAAAATCAGTTTCCTTAAAAGGGGGTTCGTGTTTTCAACAAGTTAGTTTGCCAAAGAGAAGTGTCTGGGTTCAGAAAGCAGACCGACAGGTTTACCTGGGCGTTGGTTTCTCCAAACAGAGAAGTCCCCAAGCGAGGACATGTCCTCCCAACCCCCACCCGAAAACAACTCCAGCTCAGGTTTAAGTCACATTAAAGGCCTCTAGAGGCTCATTTCACTTACTTTTAAGCATTACAAACAAACAAAAACACACACTGCTTACAAATATGTCGTCTATTTCGGTCGGCACTTAACAAAAAAAATAAATAATTGAAATTAACGTTTGAGAAATCATGGGTGAATATTCCCGAAACTCAAAGAGGTTACACATTTACACCGTAATGGAGGTTAGGGTTAAAGGTAACTTACAGCTTAGAGCGGTTCCCACCGCGAAGGCAGCGAGAGTAATGACAACTACAATGTTCATCCTGACTCAGTCGCAGAGGGAAAATAAGTTTTCGGTCGCGCGCTCTATCCGTCCGTCGTCCTCCGAAGTCAAAGATGGAGTGCGGGATGCAGTCGACGATACTTCCTTTTAGCTGTCGCAGGTGTGTCCTTGACCAACCTGTTTGAATAGAAACCGAGAGCGCGCGCGCAGGTAAGCTCGCGCACACACAAAGTAAAAAAGCTCGGGAGGGGGCACGAGCGCTGCTTGAAGTCGATGCGCGTGGGGGGGGAAGTCTGTTTCCCGTACCTGTGGTTGTTTGTATCCAAGTGGGATGAAGACGGTCGTTTATCAAGTAAACTTATAAGACAACCGTCTCGTGACGTCATGTTGATTTTCATAGGCTGGTGCCGCACGGGAACAGAGACAGGTGCGTGCGTGTGTGTGTGTGTGTGTGTGTGTGTGTGTGTGGGGGGG